CTGAGGATGATCTGCTCCATAACCCTGCCAGGCACCGAGGTCAGGTTGACAGGCATATGGCCACATAGCGGTCGTAGGCCATGGCAGCCAGCAAACAGCATTCTGTCATCCCGAGGAGGGAGAAAGCATACATCTGTGTGGCACAACCCCGAAAGGATATGTTCTTCCTCTTTGTGAGAAAGTTCACTAGCATCTTGGGGATGGTGGATGCGGTATAGCTAACCTCCAGGAAGGAAAAGTTCTTAAGGAAAAAATACGTGGGGGAGTGAAGGGCAGCATCTACCATAGTGATTGTGATGATGAGGATGTTTCCCACCAAAGTACTGAGGTACATGAACAGTAACAGACAAAAGAGAGAGCCTTGGATCTCTGGAGTGCTGGAGAAGGGTAAAAATTGGAGATAGGTCACCACAATGTGATTACTGCTGTCCATGTCCCTCAGGTGTCTTTTAACTGCAGAAGTCATTACATGTCCATTTTCTAGTTAATCTAAAGAAATACAAAATAGTAAATTGAATCTTCATATATGTTACTTTCTAATAGGACAAGATTCCAGAAAAGGAAGTGTTGTGTTTAGGTATTTTTAGTGCTAAGGATTGTTTAGTGGAGAAAAGCAAGGTGGTTTCCTTCACACAGCTTTTAATAAATAAGAACAGCTTTCCCAACCGAGTGTCCTTCACTTCTAGTCAATAAAAAGGAAGATACCTCTTTGTTATGCTAGTAGAATACTTCACTCTTCCTGCCTTTTGGGATGAGGATTATACTGTACTGCCCCACTTTTTGAAGTGGACTTTTGTCCCATTATCCAGTAGAGATCTGCAACTATAAACCCTTTGCCAAGCAAAGAAGGTTGATCATTAAAACCCAGAAATTATTGATTTGTTGACAGAATGGGTGCTTGCCAATGAGTCCCTCTTGCTATCATTCTGTGAGTGGGGTTCATTACAGGAAACAATTACCTACTGAACACAGATAATCCTGTATACTCTGCACAGTACCACACAAAACTACTAAATAATGTGGATTGCACCCCAGAAAATTGCATTTGTTCCAGGCATTCTTCAGGAGGAACAACTTTTTTCAAGAATTAAACATTTCTTGTAATTGATCTTCTATTCCAATAAACCATTCACTTCATAGGCAGATAAGTCTCCCTTAAAGACAAGTCCTGTGTAGGTGGCAGAGAACAATAAGATGGGGAAGAAGAGACAGAAGAATGAATAAAATAAAGTAACTCACCTGCCAATAGGAGAAGGCTGTGGTTAATATTTTTGGAAAAACCACACTACAAACCTTAAGTATTTCTATCTGTCTATGTCCCCACCGAAAAATAATCTTTTGGATATTGACTGTTAGCAATTGTAGGAGTCAGTTATTTTTTTCTCATTGTTTAGGTGTGACAGAGCCCTCTCTCTGCTTTTCCTGTTAGGTCCTGGAACAAACTAAAGAAAAACCTATGGAACACTTGCATATCTATTTTAATCTGTTATTTTTTTTACCATTCATGGCATTAGACCTGATCCTGCCTAAATTAAGGGATAAAAAATTGGTATGGAAACAAACCACATAGACTAAGCACAGGAAAAAAACTTTAAAGGTTTTACAGGAGGAAAGAACTTATGCATTGCTCATGTCTAACTCTGGCTTTATACTCTTTAATTAATGGTATGGGAAAGGCGTCCCCTGAGAGAACACATCATGCCAACTCAGATAGATCCTTCAGATTTCTCAGAAATTTTCCTCTCTGGATATTTCTGTCCTCTATGGATATTTCTGTCTTTATTTTGGTGAATCATGCTATGCTTCTGTTTAATTAAACAAAGATATAGCACTTTGTAGTTGTCACTTACTATGTCCAGAAGACACCTACATCACATTAGGTGGTTCTTCCCTGAAAAATCACTTTCCCTTTGTTGCTTACAGAAGATGATTGTAATGCAGAGGTCACTCTACAATCAATGACTAAAGATAAGAGTGGACAAAGACAGTTCTAAGGCCAGGTGAAATAGGATCAGTTTGAATGAGATGTCGATGCTGTCAGTGTGGATATCCGTCAGTAATTCCACTTTTAATCAAATATAAACACCAGATTTCTCTAACTGGCTGAACTTTGGCCAAAAATTTCTGAACATTACGAGTGGAACTTTTCTGTACTCATTCAAATGCACAACATCTATTAAAAAAAAATCTAAGTTCATCACCTGGGCCCTGTTCTGATCAGGGGGCTGGGAAGGGGTCAGGAGGAACAGGGGGAGCTGTTCTCCATCATGCAATTTATCTGAAAAGCTACAGCACGTGTCTGTCAGAGTCAGACCTGGGGATAGTCAAATCTCGATGCAGATTTACTCTGATCCAAGTTTAACTGGAGCCTGTTTCAATGATAATGTCTGATTGAAATGACATCCAGCCAGTTAACAGGCTAAGTGCACACTGCTTTACCTCTGACTATGGAAGATGGACATTGTCTCTTTGGCATTTAAAGGGACATTGTGCTGAGATAGCCAATGCAGGGTTGCTAATGGATCTAAATAAGAAACCACATCATAAGACCACAACAAATGGCTAAATAATAAAAAAAAAATTAATAAGATATAATAAAAATCAAGATGAGTAACGAACAAATCTTGTCCCTTACAGTCCTGGAAACCCTGCTCTCATGCAGAAGGGAATGAATTTTCCCACGGCGTGCTGCATAGATCCTGTCCATAGAGGTAGCTCTCCCATTTGATCATTCAATCTATTATATAATTCCATCATAATGAAACAACTTTATTCTTAAAGGCTGTTCTCATGAGAACTTGTTTCACTTCTGGACACAGGCCAGGTCACGCAGGTAGTGGTGTCACCAGTAAGAGTGGAAGCTGCCTGCTTACCATGAGCTGCTGAGTTTAACCTGTGGCCAAGAGATGAGCACAGCCCAGACCTGAGTGTCATCCTGGATGTTCAGCACAGTGAAGCTGAGGCCTTTTCAGGTGAACTGCTACATGCATCACTATTCCTAAACACACAATGGTCTCCTGCTCAGGGTCAATATAAGCTGAAGTGATTTTAAATGAAGATCATGGGTCTGTGGACAGAGAGTATGGCTGGAGACCATAGGGCAGGGTCGTTAAGGCCTTTTTGTGCACTCATGGTCTTCATATGTTGCTTTGCAATTTATCATCTCCCTGCAGATACCTACAAAGTTGTCATAAGGTGCAGGTCCTCTAGGTTTAGATGACAAAGATGATGATAATTCTGTGTCTGCATTCTTGGTTTGGGGGTCTGAATATCTTTTATAGTCAATGGAGAAAAACAGGCACTTCTATGGCTTGTTTCGCCTGATTCTGATATACTGTAAAGATTAAGAGGATCTCTCTCCCCAGAGGCTATAAAGGTACTCTAGATGACTGACTCTGGCCAAGACCTTTACAAAGTTGACAGTTTGATTGAAGTGATTTGTGATCACTTGTAACTTGCAGCCTTCCATTCCTATCTCAGTAGGATTTACAGTTCCATATGAATGTGGACTGTGCCTCTGCTTCACCTTCAAATTTTGTTGAGAAAGCATAAATATGACAAGCTTACGTGACTACTGTCTCACTAATTTGGTGATAATTATGAAGTAATAGTAATTGCTTCAAAGTCAAAGACAGCTCTTGATGTTGCATGAGAACATCTAGATTTATATAGAAGTGTATTCCAAATTATCTAAAACTGGAGAGACCAAAAAGAGTGTCTGTGAATCAACTAATACACGTACACCATAGTTAGTAACCAACCTGTGAGTAACAACTATGCTTTACTGCTGTAATCAGCATTAGCAAGTCTCAGTGGACTTCATAGATATATATATATATAGGATACAGTACTGGGAAAAAACACCTCTCCTTATTCACTGCAGAATGCTCAGAGTGGAATGTTTTTCTAGAGACCTCATGATTTAGGACTTTTTTCTTCCTCTCTCTTGTAAGGGCCCTTTAACCCTTTTCATGCTGTATAGCCTAGCCATGAGTACAGTCACAAGATGCTTTGGACCAATTGACCTTGCATGCATCCCCAGAGTAGATCACTTAAATAACAGAGAAATTATCTTTGTTATATTCAAATGTTGCTACTGATGCTGTTGGAACTTGAACTGATTAGTCCATAAAAAATATTTGCTTTTTTTTTCCCCCTTGTTCTGCGGGGTAAAAACTGTAGCTGAGCATTGAAGAGACTAGTAAATATGCAAACTTTGAAGGCAGTGCTATGAAAAGATGCCTCAGTCAAAAATAGAGACAAAAACATTTGCAGAAGACCACTTAATCTCTTCAGAAGACCTTTTCAAAATCTTGATAATTTCTAAATTCTACTCATCCTTTTACCTATTCAATCAGGCAGTGGTATTTGGATTGCCAATTTGCCTGTCTGTTTACTACGTCATCAACTACTGAGTGCAAAAACGAAGAGAGAATAGTTCTACTAGGTACCAGTTCTTGGGAACTTCAGTGAAGTGAGTGAATTCAGACTCCTGGGTTTTTCTGAAATCTCTCATTTGCATCCTTTGCTCTTTGTAGTTTTATTATCTCTTTATATTCTCACCTTGATGGCTAACACAGTGATAGCTTTGACAATGAATGGTGATAACACCCTTCATTCCCCCATGTATTTCTTCCTCACTCAGCTGTCCTGTTTGGATATCTGCTATTTGTCAGTCATAATACCAAATATTCTTGAGAATCTGATGGTGGGAACAATAGGTATCTCCAAGGCAAGATGTGCAACGCAAATGTTTTTCTTCCTTTTCTTTGGAGTTACTGAATGTTTTCTCTTGGCTGCCATGTCACTGGACCGTTATGTGGCAATATGTTGCCCCTTGCATTACACTATTGTCATGAACAGTAGAGTCTGCAAAAGTCTGGTTGCTGGAACTTACATTTGTGGAACTGCTGTAGGCTTGGTACACACCATCATAACATTCAACTTACCCTTCTATGGTTTTGCCATCAATCACTTTTTCTGTGAGATTCAACCCCTCTTGGACCTGCTTTGTGGTAACACTTTCCCAAGTGAAATTCAAGTCATTGTGGTGGCTGTCTTTGCTATTTTGTGTCCTTTCTTGTTGATCATTTATTCATATAGTCGCATAATTTCCACAATTCTTCTGATGTCATCAGCTGAAAACCAGCAGAAAGCATTTTCCACTTGCTCCTCACATCTTTTAGTTGTGATTCTTTTTTATGGTACAGCAAGCTCCATGTATTTGCGGTCAAAATACACCTATTCTGCATCTGTTGATAAATTCCTCTCGCTTTCTTATTCTGTGGTGACTCTTTTATTGAATCCTACTATTTATAGTTTGAGGAATGAGGAGGTGAAAAGAGCCCTGAGAAAAAAAATGGAGAAATATTAATTTAGTGTGGAAATGCAACAGAATATTTGCATTGTTTCAGATGGTTGTAGTGGTATTTTTCACTGTAAATTCTTGTTCAGTAAAAGGAATTTCCAGATAATTCCCAAGAACACTTCAACTTTTGGGGAGGAAAGAAAGAGTGGAGATGTTGAACTGTAAGAAAGAGTGTTAGATGCTATGTTAGGATTTTGAAAGGAAACTTCTTCCACATACTGAAGAAATTCTTAAATAAATAAACTTTTTTTCTTTTTCTTTTCCTTACTATCTGCAGAAAATTGTGTTTTACCTGTTTCTGACTTTTTGAACAAAAGAGTAATGTTCAGGATCCTGATTTTACTGAAAGAGTTGAGAACAATAAATTTTCATCAATTTACATTTATTTCCTAAAAATGTTTAGTAAATTTCTTTTGGAAAAGAAGACATAATTCAAGTTATAATACAGAGCCCAGGAAATTACTGAGCACTGGTTATGAGTTCTGAGACTGTTATCGGAAAAAAAAAGGTGTGCAAAATTGCATATCTGCCTCAAAGACCTTTCTTTAATTTTAGAGTCATTGTTATAAATATTTTATACCAAGTCTTGGCTAAATCTTTTTATATATGAAGAGCAGACTATTTTGTATAGAATTTTTATCAAAAACCGTTATTTCATATATGGTTTTTGCCTTTAATATTTCTATTATAGACTATTATGATATGTTATTAGGACATATATATTATATATTAACTAGAAAGCTTTGCACTCCATGACTGAAAAGGTAGGATTTGTGTGACCTAATTTAAGGATATAAAGGTCACTCATTGAAGTCTGGGAGAATAAATCTAATATTTCATTGGAAATGGAGGCAAATAACTTCCTCCAGAAAGAAATATTTCTACATTTCATAAGTATCTCTTTTAGAAGATGAATGATCTTCTGCAGCTATGAATTTGGAGACTATAGAGGTGAGATTCACTGGTTTAAGGATGAGCTTTCCATTTCTTCTCATATACCTTAAGTAATCAAAGGCATTTTTCAGATATGACTCAGGATCTATAGGAGACCCAAACCGTTCTGCAGTGATGATCAGAAGATAGCAAGGAAATTCTAAACTATGTAAAATGTACCCAAGCAGTGTTTTTTATAAGCAATGGATTCTTATCATGAATTGAACCTGGAGTCCTGTTCAAATATGCCTAGCGAAGGTAAATGAATTCCACACTGAATACAAAAATCCACAAATTAGAGAAGCCAAATGAACACAATTCATAACAGCAAGAAGAAAGGAAGCTGTCTTCCATATATTTGAAGAGAAGGCAAGTTAGTTGCCTCACCAAAACACCAAACAGCTCTCATAGTTGCTCCCATAGCTGCTGGAGGTCATTTGCAGGCACCAGATTTTTTTTTCCCCACATATTCCATTACCGTGTTGCCAAAAGTCCTGAGATGAATGGAAAGCAAAACTTACTACAGACTACGAAATCCACCAGCTTACTTCACCAGTGGCTTCTTTCTTTTAAAGGATACGCTTCTACTATCCAGGCTTTTTCAAGATGTGTATCTGGTGCTCCTCAGCCTTTGTTCTGTGAATGTTTTGTGAAGATTACTTATGAAAGGCAAAATTTTAAAAAAATAGAAATATCTTAAAAGTGATGAAGTATTTGAAGCTGCTGAAGTTCCCCTTGAGATACTTGCAGTTCTTCATCCATACTCTTGGGTCACTTAAAAAAGATTCTTCTGTAGCTCTCCAGTTCATCCAAGGGCGTGATATTTGCAATTATAGACAGATTTCTCAGTGTCTAATTTTTTTTATAATGGAGAGGGTGGACTGTTGTTTTAATTGTATCTTTCACTATACAAAAGGTAAATAGGAGTGATTTAGTGGTAGTCATTAAAGGTTGGATAGATAGAGATTTTAAAATAAATTTAGAAATTCTGTTCTTCAGGAACAATTGATTTAATCTTGGGCTTATAGTCTATGAATGATGGTTCAATATCTATCAAGTGATTATAAGCGTGGATTCCTAATAGATTAGATATGACATTTCTGGGAGTTACAATCATTATAAAAGGCTCATATTGTTTTGGAATGGCATTTGTAGAGCAGATGCAATATCTGGACATGTAAAATTACACTAAACATTTTTATTTAGTCATTAGAATATCCAAATATCTACACTTCAAGTTGGTGTCTAAGCTGTCACTATGGACTATAGATGCCAGATACACTTTTGCAGTAAATTTGGTCACCAGGTTCCACTCATGGATTGATTCATTTTGACTCTGTTGGGAATTCAGACATCCAGTGGGCTTGTACACACCTGCAAATAGACGTCTGTATCTGAAGTCAGATTACATTCCAAATGATTAGTGTTTATGTGCCCAAAACATCATGAGATAAAGACAAACCACACCCATAAAGCTTGAGATCTCCTTCTCCAGGTTTGACTTGATAGCCTGAAGGGACATTTCTATTAATATGCATCCTAGGAAGTTCTTCCTCATTTTCAGGTGGAATATTCACATTCAGGTGGATTCAATGCATCAGTTTCTGCCTGTTACTGCTTGTCCTATTGCAGGGCACCACTGAGCAGAGTCTGGTCCATCCTCTGACACCCTCCCTGAAGATACTTATATACATTGATGAGATCCCCTCTCTGTCTTCTTGAGGCTGACCAGACCCAACTCCCTCAGCCGTAGAGAGATGCTCCGGTCCCTTCATCATCTTTGAAGCCCTCCACCGGACAATGACATGATTTGTCATCACATGTATCATGTATGTTACTCCTATGAAGAAATATGTTTGAAACTGTAGACCTCTTAGACTTCTAGGGGTTTAATCGTTAAAGAAAATTTATGGAACTCACAGTTTCCATATATCAGTGGACCTTACACTTGGTTTTTTGGTGCTTTTTTTAGACATTTTAGACCCTATGGTAAGGTAAAGAGATAGAAGGGTATTCATGGACTTGCTTCCTAGTATCAGTACTCCAATTATTATTAAAATATGGGATTTCAGGAGAAAAAGAGTCATGTAAGTAGCTTTAGAAATGCAAGATTTAGACAACTGAAACAATCGTCCTAGACTTCTTAAACAGTCAGTGGAGAACAATAGGCAATTTTAGAGCAATTGAATTAGAGCGATAGTTTATTGAATTGTTTCAGATGTTTAGTCTGATTAGATTTTTTAGGATGTTGAATTGCACAGCAGTTGTGCTTCTTCCCCCCAGTAATTGTAAAGGTCGTCCAGCATGAGTAGTTCAGATGGTCATTTCTACATTATTCCTGTTCCTCTTCTGTTCCTCCTGCCTCGCAGTGTAGTCTGTTAATCTCTTTCCACAGCTCCTTCATCTGATTACTCAACACATCAATTCAAACACACATCCTTCACACAAAGGGTGAAGGTCTAGTGGTCTAGTGGTTAGGATGCAGCACTCTCACCGCCGTGGCCCAGGTTTGATTCCCGGTCAGGGAACTCCTCCGGGCAGATGGAGCTCGTCAACCCTGTAAGGCCATCCATCTAAGAGAAGGTCACTCTAAACAAACCTACGTCCTGGGGACCTCACTGCCACCGTCCAAGCTTCGCTCGGCCTCGGCAGATGAACCTTAGGATTAAAGGGTGGGCTCAGTTCAGCGCACACTGTGTCTCACCTAAAAAATCCACTGTGCAGGCTCGAAGGGTAATGACCTTTCCCTTCACACAAAGGTAACATCAGTCCCAGCCTCAGTGAGAAACACCAGGCACACCTTACAGCCAGGGACCTGGATGCTTCTTCCTCAAGAATTCTGGGTAAAGGCCTCTGATGAGGCAACCAATGACGGTTGCCAGAAAGGGTGTCACTAGTTTCTCTAATCTGTTAATTCATGTGCTCTGAATCCTGTACTTGTAGATACTTCCCCCACAGAAATCCCAGCTGATTAAATTTCTTTCTTGCACCATGCACATTTACAAAATACTGCAACTTCAGCTTAATCAAAATAAATTTTCAACCATGAATCTTCCTACAGACGTATGCATTGAACAGGAGGAAAAGGGTTTCTTTCATATAAAGAAACCCCCAGCTAATAATACAAACTAAAACTCTGTTTAACTTAGAAACAACTCATAAGCATTATTCTGGGACCAATCTTTAGCTGGTAAAACTACTACAAACATTTGTAGTGTTACTGCACACAACAAGATTTTTAATGTGTCAAGGCCCCATTGACTCTTACTGGACCTGTCCTGACACGAAAGACAGTGCTATGAAGAAACTTACACATTTTTAAGGACTTTAAAATTCAAAATCTTCATAAGATACTGAAAAAATTATGGAGAAGGCTTTTCTGGGAGTTATTAAAAAACACCTGAAGGTAATCAGCCACAGTCAGCAAAGATTCATGTGGGGAAAGTCCCACTTGTCAAACTTAATGTTCCTTCACAGCAAGGTAACCCATCTAGTTGATCAAGGGATACCGGCTGATGTAATCTTTTTGCATTTCACCAAAGCTTTTGACACTGTCTCTCACAGGATCCTTCAGGACAAACTGTCCAGACCACAGCTGGATAAACATATCATGTGATGTGTGAGCAATTGGCTCATGAGTCAGGCACAAAGAGTAAATGGGGTTATAACAGGCTGGCGACTGGTCATAAGTGGGGTTCTGCAGGATTCCATTTTAGGTCCAGTGCTCTTCAACATCTTCATAAACAACTTGGACATAGGAGTCAAAAGGATTCTAAGTAGGTTTGCAGATGATACTAAATTGGGAGGAGCTGTTAACTCTCTCCCCAGAAGGCAGAGAGGCCCTGCAGAACCTGGACAAATCAGAGAGAGGAGCAATCACCAACCAACAGGGCACCAATTCTACACCTGGGATGGGTTAGGGTTAGGATTAGGGTTAGAGTTAGGGTTAGGATCAGGATGTACGGACAGGCTGGGGAACGAGGTGTTGGAAAGCAGCATAGTGGAAAGGGAGGTCCCGGCTAATGGCAAATTGAATATGAGTCAGCAGTGCCCTGGCAGCCAGGAGGCCCAAC